ACTTAGGCATGTTACTGTATTGCAGGGACTTAGATGGAAATTTTTACACTTTTGTTTATGTAGCTGTTGCCAAATTTGTAAGCCACTGGAGGTCTGAAGCAGAGAAGACTAAGACTAAGGTCTCTCCATTCCTGCTTCTACTGAGTAAATGCTGTATAAGACAACTCTTACTGTGATTTGGAGCAAATATCAGAAATAAATATGATCTGATGAAATTAACAAATTGTGCATCTTTTTCCGTTTCTTTTTCTCTTGCTTTTTTGAGGCAGGGTTTCATGAAGCCTAGCTCACACTGACCTTCAACCCCTCATCTTCCTCCTTCTGCCTTGAAGTTCTTGGTTTGCCGGCATGAGCTATCTATCCATTGGGCTGCTTGTCTCAGCAGCAACAAATGACCAAGGAGCTCACCAACACTGAATGAACCCTGCCTGGCTTTCTGTATCCCTGGAAATAATGGGAGGTTCTTCGGGAGGATGTAGGTAGGTGGCATCATCAATGATAAGCTAGCTCTGGGTACTTCTGAAAGCATTTAATATGCACTAAACATTTTGTCTGAGGTAGAGCCTCAGGGCTCTTCAGCTATCTGCTGAAGACTGTGCTAGGCAGTCTTTAATGGTTTCTGTGAGAATGTCTGTCAGGTTTTTACGTTCCCAGGAGGAAAGGACTCTCCTTTGAGAACTGTAGAGCAATCTCTGCAAATTAATATTTAAAAAAAGAACAAGATACAACATGGAAAAATCAATTTGTAAAATCAAACCGCATCTCACTGAATAACTATACCCATTCTCTTTATTTTTTTTGTACCTTGGTAAGGGACATTGCTCTTTGTTCAGTAGTTCAAGCAGTCATGGTGGTGAATGTCTGTAATTCCTCAGGGGTAGCTGAGGCAGGAGTCTCTTGCGTTCAAAATCAGTCTGAATTGTATAATGAGAACCTGCCTCAAACAAAACACCAAACAAACAAACAAACAGACAAAACAAGTGGTGTGGGGGCAGTCAACTTCAGCTTTCCCACTTCTAATTCTTAGCAAAACCAAATGAAGTTTCTCCCAGAGGCCTTTTGTGTTTATCTTGGCTCTACATTTGGACTTAGATTTTGATGGGACTTTCTCTGTAATTCTGTCTCCATTCTCCCTTCGAATAATTAAAGGAAATGTAAAATTTGGAGCCTTGAGAGCACTGTACTCAGTCTTCCTCCCTCTGAAGCAGTGGTGGGGACTTAACTAGGAAGGTTATTGGTTGGGGGGCAAGTGTGTACTGGGAGAAACACTTTCCATTGTGGGCAGCTTAGAAGGGAAGACTAGGCTAATTTAGGTTGATTTGTTTAGATTCTGACCTTAGAGAAGAAGCTGGTGGCCTAACCCAGGTCCCAAAGTTGGAAGGGGCTGGCAAGGTTATGGGCAGAAAGCAGTCAGTTTTCTTTTCTTGTAGTCCCTATAGTGGGGGACTGCTGCTGGGGGACTTCACTGCTAGGGACATTGGCTAGCTGGAGACAGATGTAGTCACTGTAGGATGAGAACAAATTCTGGGCTAGGTCCCTAGCACACTAGATTAGTCAATCTGATATAGTTCTTAAGTATGAACTTCTCCTGTAACAACTGTGAAAATCTCAGTATTGATTCAACAGAATAAAAAGAAATCTACATGGAAACACTGGGCAGTGTTGCCTTCTGTGGTAGTAGTTCAGGACTCAGCATAGAGTAGACACTTGAAATTCTGTGTGAAGTGAGCTGTATATGTGCAAATGTGCATATTTATATAAACATAGGCATCCACACATACATGCATAATGTTGATACATGCCTGCTTAATAAATCAGTCTGTTCATTCTGATTTAAAGGAAAGAGATTTAACTGCCAAAATATATCATTTGATATGCAGAAAAAATATATCAAAGTGAGTCATTTTGTTTTCACAGTTAAAGTTTTTTCTTTTTCTTAATTTCCATTGCAGTAACTATAGATGGACAGTGTAACACAATGGTGCACAAAGAGTGATGCCCATGTGTGCATGTACACCCAGTCACACCTTTGCTGCAACAGCTAGAACAATGAGAAAAACTCCAGTGGCCACTGAAGGGCTCTAGCAGGCCTGAGCATGGCAAACATGGTGCCAACAGGCTTTGCCCTTTACTCTGCTCCCCCATTCCCTCTCCCTTGCTGCACTGTTAGACTGCGTTCCTAAACCTAGTCACTAAGGTCCACTACCTTATTTGGCCACTTCTTCCTTCTGAGGCTGACTACCAAGGTCCAAGTATTGAAGCCCAGCAATCAAAAGCCCCCTTTGGCTCACCTAATTACCATGCAAACTCAAAATTAAATACCTCATCCTGACACAGGGTTTCTCTTTATAAACTGCCATTTACCTAAGGGCCACGTCTGTCTCCTCTCTATCCTGAGGCAGTCCTTTGTCCCTCTGGGACAAATATCCCTGTCTCCTCTCCCTTGTTCCTTTCCCCTTCTCCCTCATCCTCTGTCTCCTGTCTTAGTGCCCTTTGTCCTCTGAGGCAAATACATCTCCTCTGTGCTGAGAAGTTAGTCTTAGGGTGCCTTGTGCCAATTCCAGTTCTTTCAGCAATAAGAACAGTAGGGAACCAGAAACCTTACTTTTCTGGTAGGAATCTATTATGACTTGGTGCAATGACTTTGTCACACTCCAAGAATCTACTAAAGCTGACCATATACACATCTTATAATGCAGCAATTGCAGTCTTTGGAACAAACTCTCCAGGAAGATTGAACCAAAAAATTCATTCAGATACTCCTAATCTATTATACAAACAGCCTACAATTTACTCAACTGCTCACCAACAAAAGAATGGCAAAGTAAAATTGTAGTATAGCCTTACAGTGGAATATTATTCAGCAATGACAATGAGAGATCTACAGTCTTCTTAATATCTGGATGAATCTCATTAGCAATACTGAGTGAAAGAAAATGCCCAGGGTGACTAAGCCATAGCTCAATTACTGAGTCCATATTAAGCATGCATAGTGCCCTGGGTTCACTCTCCTGTATCCAACAATGACAATGACAACAAGATACAGAAGAGTGTATGCTGTATGACCCTATTTAAAGAAAACTGGCAAAAACTCTTTATACTGTTCAAAGTCAGAACAGTGCTTGTGATGTTTCTACTGCTGATAAACACCATGACCATGGCAACTTGGAGAGGGAAGATTTATTTCAGCTTACAGGTCTCAATTACTGTTGATCATGAAGGAAAGTCAGGGCAGAAACTCAAGGAAGAAACCTGGAGGCAGGAACTGAAGCAGAGGCCTTGGGGGAGTGAGTGCTGCTTACTGCTGACTTGCTTGTCAGCTTGTTCAGCCTGTTTCCTTATAGAACCCAGGGCCCCCAGTGCAGGGTGACACAGAGGCTCAGCGCCCCCACATCAGTCATGCACTACAGATTTGCCTATAGGAACAAATTATGGAGGCATTTTCTTAACTGTGAGTCCCTTTCCCCAAATGACTTCAGCTTGTGTTAAGTTAACATAAAATTAACCAACACACTGGGTGTGGAGGATTTTGGTACTTGATTTGGATGCCTGGTATGTAAATGTTTTGGTTTATAAAACGGTATCAAACTGAATATATACTTCTCTTTAACATGTCATGCACATTCTTTTAAAAGCTCCATGTAAATGGTAAGACTGACATAAGATGTGTTAACGTGGTGGAACAGGGTTAACAAAGGTTTGGTTGTTTTAGTTTGCTGGGTCACCTTTGATGCTCACAAGAACAATGAGGCAGGTAGGCAGTCTGGCCAGGGAGCAGATCCTGGCTTTAACAGCCCATCCATCATACTGCAGACACTTGCTTGCCTCCTTTCCCACATTTAACTATCTTTACATGATTTTACTCTGCTACAACTTGTTTACTTTATCTCACTGATGGTTTTGACCCTGGTGTCAAAGAACTAGGAAGCACCATGGAAGAACTATTTTTTTTTAAATGATAATGACTGAGACTATATTTGTTTAAGTTAGAAATCCAATGACTCTGGATTCCAATCTCTTGCCTCCTCATGTGCCTGTGCTGGCAATTACACCGAAAACACACATGCATGCACACACACACACACCACACAGAGTCTGTCTGTGTGTCTCTGTTTGTCTCTCTCTCTCTCTCTGTCTTTCTCTTTCTGTCTCTCTGTCTCTGTCTCTCTGTCTCTCTCTGTCTCTCTCTGTCTCTCTCTGTCTCTCTCTCTCTCTCTCTCTCTCTCTCACACACACACACACACACACACACACACACACACACACACACACACACACACTGATGGCAGTAACCTAAATCTAAGTGCTGTTCCAACACTGTTACTTTACCTTAATACCTCCTGTTGTTTGGTGTGAAAGATGACTGGAAAATATGAAGAGACTCAGGTTGAGAGTCCTTATCCAAAAATCTGAAAACTGAAATAAATGCTTCAGAATCTGAACTTGAAAACCAATATACATCAGAAATAGAAATGTCTATACCTGACTTCATGGGATGATGGATTGTGATTAAAAAAAAAAACAAAAAACAGATGATGAGCTGAGGAGATGGCTAAGTGGGCAGAACACTTGTCATGGGGATCTGAAAAAAATCTAAAATCCAGAACATTTCTAGTCTAAGCATTTCTGTTCATCCCGCAATCTTTAAGATCGTTGCACATTGGCGATGTGTCTATGTGTGTGTATTGCCAGCAGAGTGAAACACTGGGGACCCCACTTGGGCATCCGGTGCCCGTACCATTCACAGACTAGAAGTGGCAACTCAGAATGCCACTGACTGTGTGCAAACGGGGACAAGAGCGCTGCAAAGCCGAGAAAGGAAATGCTAGATAAGAGGGATGTCACTCTGCCAGTTTGCCGAACAGCATTTTCTCATACCAGGAATCCTGAGGAAATCTGCCAGGAGGAACGAGTTTGGAAGGCTCTGATTGGGTGCCCTTGTCCACTTGGCAGTGAAGTCATCTCCTGGGGCCCAGATTTATCTTGCCTGCAAACTGGAGGAGCATGATAATCAAGTTTTCTTCCTTGTTTTAAAATGCTGTTGCTATAGGCTCTAGCATAGTTTAACTGTACAAACATAAGAGAAGCCAGTTACAGACCGCGCAGTACATAAACTCATCGATATGGAATACTGGGCCCACGCAAGTCTACAGAAACAGGCCAGGGGCCACAGGTAAGAGTCTTTGTGAGTAACGGCCAATGGGAACCAGGTTTCTTCTTGGGATGATATAACATGTTCTAAAGCACATTGTGGTGATAGTTATACCACCCTGGGAATTTACTTAAATCTGTTTAAGGGTGTATCATACAGCATGTCAGTCACATGGAAATAATACAGCTTTCAAATGTCTGTATTTTAATTCACTGAAAGGTGGTAGACTAGAAAAAGCATCCATAGGAGCACAGGTTGCAAATTCATTTCTTTCACCAATTTGCTAGTCTTTATGAGGTATGTGTGGGCTCTGGACTGCTAGTGCCTGAGTTGTCCCTCACCTCTATACTGTGAAGTTAAGATTCTATGACAGCATGCTGAGACACATCAGAGAAGACATAGGGAAAATATCCAAGGAGGAAAATTAAGGAGATACGAAAGACAGATATGGTGTGCTGGTAAACGACTGTGACAATCCCAGTGGCCTACGCAGCAGTCCTTCTGGAGAAGGGACTCAAGGAAATCACACAGCCAGCATCAGTATCTCACAGCATCAGCACCTGACAGCATCCTCTGCTCATCTCAGTCATAGTCAGGGAGGAGTGGCCCAACTCAGAAGGAAATGCCAACTCAAGTCCAGAACACTGCAGCTCCTAATATTTAGCAGATACTGAAATGTGTGTATTTGAAAAGAAATGTGCCAGGTAATACTTTTACTGAGCATCACACTATGGGCATTTTAGCACTTTCTTTTACAGACCTAAGTCTGCAAAGATAAGGAACTATAAGCTCTTGTCTTGGAGAAAAGCACTGACATGCTTGCCAGTGATGGCATCCAGCCTTTCCCACATCTACACAGTGCATCTGGAGAGGCAACAATCATAAAGCTGAACTAATTACACTTCAGGTTTTATTTAATAAAGAAGACCATGAATATGTGCAATTAATGCCACATGAGTCTTTGCTGTGCTCAATCTCATGCATATTTCATTCCATCTCTAGTTTTGAAGTTTAAGTAAATCTAGAGCTCACAGGGTATTATGTATTATGCATGCTTCATATAACCCAAAGAACGAGAATTGAAATTTGATGTGAATTTAAATCCTCCACAAATCCCCACTTCTAATAAAATGCTTGGAGTGATGAGGAGGACAATGAAGCCAGTGTCTTCTCCAGTTCTGATGTGCTACAAGGGGCACAGCCTTCCAAGACAATGAAGAGCTTCTTGGCTCTGTAAATTGCTATACAAGTTCCTTGGTACACTAGGTATTCAGGGCAAGGGGTCAGGCAATATCGGCAACCTACAGGTATATTTCTAAAGATGACACACGTTCCTTATCTAGAATCTTTTCTAAATTTAATAATGTAGAGGTATCATCATCATTATCATCACCCTCTTTCTCACACCCATGCCAGTAGGGAGTTACAGCCATGGGAACAGAGAGGAATGTTTCATGGTGAAATAAAAGGAGGATGTGGGACCTATTTCCTAGGCCTACTGAGGGTCAGGATTTCCAAGGGCAGCTTGGAAGGTCATTGCCAATATCTTTGCAGCACATCTTGGACATGCCAGCCCCTCAGTCACCCAGCTTTTGGGAATAAAGTTCCATATGTAACTTAAAGAAGGCTTAACATGAAGCAGCTATGTCCCTCCAGCTGATACAGCAGGAAAAACAAGCACCCTCAATGGGCTTCTCGCCCAGTTGCTGATCCCAAACTCCCTGGAGCCTTTGGATCTAACATCTAGTTTGCAGGGATTTAGGGATCAAAGAAAACAAGTCAGCACCACGAGGAAGCAGCAAATAGATGGAAAGTGAGAAAAAACTCTCTGGGGCAAAGAAGATTGGGAGATAAGGGAAAAGTAACAAAGAGACTGAGAAAGAATGCAGCATGGTTAGGTTTTAGATTAACCCAACTGATCATTTTGTTGGATATGACAAATTGCAGCTTCTATATGGACATTATTATTCAAAATTTGCATATCATAGAATCATACTTCTTTTTTTACATATTTTATTGGTTTTGACAATTTTATACGTGTATAAAATATATCTTGATTACTGTGGTCCTCCCATCCTAATTACCCCCTGTCTTTCCCATCTCATGTCTTCATTGAGTTTAACTAGTGTCTACTTTGATAACATGAGTTTAGAACTATCCATTGGAGCCTGGTGGCCTCCTCAGTAGGGAAACAACTGAAGACAAAGATTGCTTCCTCAAATCCACCAGTAGCCTATAGTCCAGTGGGGATGGTTAGATCCCTGTGAGCTCCTCTCTGATCCACGACTGACTGTTATAAGCCCAGTGTTGTGCGTGACTAGTGCAGGCAACCACAGGTATTATGAGGTCATGACTCTATTGTCTGAGCTATGCCCAGAAGACAGCATTTCATAGCCCTTTTCCCTTTCTTCTAGCTCTTATTACTACCTTTCTACAATGATCCCTGAGACTTAGAGGAAACGATACAAATATCACTCAACTGCCACTTTGTCTCAGCAATGTGAGCAGTGACATGTTTCTGAATTCACTGCAAAGACAAGCTTCTCTGATGAAGACTGGGGTTAAGTTTATGGGTATAAACATATTTAGAAGACAGTCTGGTGCTATGAGAATTTAGCTAAACAAGAGTAGTAAGTTCACTAAGACTGTCTCAGCTATACTTTTCTGTTTGTTTGTCTTTTAGGTTTATACTACCAGGCATGAATTCCCTCTCACGGAACAGGTCTCAAATCTAACCAGAAAGTAGTTGATTTCCCCCACTACAGTTGTGTTACTACTGTACCAGTGAACATGTCTTACTTGGAAGGTTGGTACTGTAGTTCATAGGGTTCACAGCTAGATAATACCATCCATGCCTTTCCCCTTAACAGCTTGTGTAGCAGTCTTGCTTGTCTTGCAGAAAGACATCCTTTTGGTTCATTCTGTTGGTGCCCTTTTGTCTGTACTGCAGAACTTCCCCATGACTCAGGGAAGATGGACCATGAAATGTGTTACATTACATAGAAATCTAGCATAATAAAAATGTGCACAAAGTTTTGGCAGAAGTAACTACCTTCCTTCATTTTACCACAAATTACACTAATCCCTACAGAAAATCTCTGTGATCCCTGTGAATAGCAGCTTGGCTCCTCTAACTTGGCATTACAGCCACTGTTAGAATGCTCCACCATCAAATGTGATTCTGTTATAGATGGTAAGAAATAGTGGACCATCCTATTTAAAGCTCGCGAGATGCAATTTACTCCTCTGAAAGCTGTTTCAGCTCTTACGTGCAAAACCTCTGTGTATATTATTTCCCATGGCTCTTCTTCATTAGTACTTTTGAGCTTGTTAATTGCCATTAAATTTTCTTTCTAATGTGAAAATGTTGAGTGTTGAAACTGTGAGTTCTCAGAGGAACATTTGGGCACCTTGATTTTATTTCCAGTCCTTAGTTGGAATTTTGATCTTTGTTTTAGTTTTCCTTTCTGTTGCTGAATTAAAATGCTCTGACCAAAAGCAACTTTGGGGGAAAAAGTTTTGTCTGGCTTGCACTTCCAGAGATAACAGCCCATCACTGAGGAAGTCAGGGCAGGACCTCAAGCAGGAACCCATGGCAGGTACCATGGAGTAGCATTGCTTGGTGACTCTCTATCTGGCTTCCTTCTAGGCTCCTGCTTAGCTAGTTTTCTTATCAGCTCAGGACCATCTTCCCTGGTGAAACCCAGAGTAGGCTTGACCCTCATCAACTGATAATCAAGACAGTCCTCCACAGATATGCCCACAGGCCAATCTGACTTAGGCAATTCCTCTGTCAAGGCTTTCCTCTCATATGACTCAAGACTGTGTCAAGTTGACAATTAAAGCTAACTAGGACAGCCTGTCTTTTAAAAACCTTTTCATTTATTTTTATTAGGTGTGCATGTGGTGGCCTGCTTATCTGTCTGGTCACCAAGTGCATGTGATGTTTGTAGAGGCCAGAAGAAGACACAGGATGCCGTTGGAACTGGAGTTACAGGAAGTTGTGACCTGACCAAAGTAGGTGATGGGAGCTGAACTCGGGTCCTCAGCTGGAGAAGCAAGTACACATAACCACCAAGTCACCTCTCAAGACTCCAAATTTTTTTTTCTTGAGACAAGAGTCTCTTCTTTGCATCCCTGGCTGACCTTTTATACCAGGTTGGCCTCCAATTCACAGAGCGCTGTCTGCCTTTGCCTCATGCCTGGTTTGGAAAAACAACAATTTGTTTGAAAGTATACAATCTCTGTAAGAAAGAATATTATTGTTTGAACTTCACATTCACTTTCACATTGATTATTTAGGAGCCTCATAACATTCTGTGACATTATTTTGAAGGGTTTAAATTTTACAACTGAATTTAGGTTTTAGTTCTCTGAGAGGAGCAAAACAGGTGTCTCTCCCAACAAAGGGCCATTTATCAGCAAAACCCTCATTCAGGATGAGGCAGAGAGCACATACAAGTCCTGAATCAGCTCCACAATGTCTCAAGGATAAATTCTGCAGCCCCACTTCAGAGTCATGTCCAGACTAACTCAAGAATGTCCAAAAATGGTAAAACTAAACCTCAGCCAATTAAAAGTACACTAGTGTAACTCTTGCTTGCTTGATCAGTTATGTTTGAGATGACCTAACTATTTCTGAAATCCCCCTAGCTGTGCTTAAAAGGAGCCTGCACGCTCCTCTCAGGGTCATTGCCATTTTGAACAGGGGTTGACCCCTGCATGTAGGTATAGTAATAAACGTTCTTTGTTCTTGCAATACTATTTGAGTCTGGGGTCTTCCTTCAGTATTTTCTCAGACCCCTACAATTTGTGTATTAGGTCAGGGTTAGTAAAATTCTTGCCGTGAGGGATAGGAGAGTACTAAATCTTTGAGGAGTGTGTTCAACAACTTACAGCTACCTACTCGATGCCAAAATTGGGGCTCTATTGGGGATCACCAACCTTAGCATCTAAAATAGACTACTGAATAATTTTCCGCTTCTCCTTTTATTTTCTTCATGGCCAGATACACAGTGGTAATCTACCCACATCTAAGGAGCTGCTAGCATTCTCTCTTGACTAGTTGGCTGAATTTCATCAGTATATGTCAGATCTGCACATTGTATCCATCCTGTCCTATCCTTCACTTAGGTGGGTCCTGTCTCTTGCCTGCACTATTATAAGGGAAACTTGATACACTCACTTGCTTCTGTTCTCCAAAGGTTTCCAGCTACTGTGGCAGAGTTAAGTAATCACCCCAGAAAGCCACTAGTTTTAGACAGGGTTTTCTCCAAGAGTCAATGTTTGTAGTTTGGCTCCAGGACATAGCATTGTACGGTAATTGCTCCTTTAAGAAATGGGAGACTGAAGAAAGAAATTGAAGATATCAGAAGATGGCAAGATCTCACATACTCATGGATTGATAGGATTAACATAGTAAAAATGGCCATCCTATCAAAAGCATTTAATACAATCCCCAACAAAATTTGAACACAACTCTTCACAGATCTTGAGAAGACAATTTTCAGTTTCATATGGAAACAAAAAAACCAGGACAGCTGAAACATTTTCGAGTAATAAAAGTGCTGCTGGAGGTATTACCATCCTCATTCTCAAATTTTAGTACACAGCTATAGTAATAAAAAGAGAATGGTATTGTCATAAAAACAGACACATTGATTATTGGAATCACTGACGATCCAGAAATAAATCCAAATGCACACCTGATTTTTGATAAAGAAGCAAAAACACACACTGGAAAAAAAGACAGCATTTTCAACAAACAGTGCTAGTCAGATGGGATGGCTGCATGTAGAAGAACGCAAATACATCCATACTTTTCACCCCACACAAAACTCAACTGCAAGCAGATCAAAAACCTCAACATAGATCCAGATACCCGAAACCTGACAGAAGAGAGAGAGAGAGGAAAATAGCCTTGAACTCATTGGCACAGAAAAAGACTTTCTGCACAGAACATCATTATCACAGGCATTAAGAACAATAATTAATAAATGGCACCTCATGAAACTGAGAAGCTTCTGCATGGCAAAGGACACCATTATTCTAACAAAATGACAAGCTACAGAATGGGGAAAAATTTTACCAACTACATATCTGATAGAGGGTTAATCTCCAAAATATATAAAGAACTAAAAAAACTAGATATCAAAAAACTAGAATACAAATAACCCAATTGAAAATGCAGTACCGATCTAAACAGAAAGTTCTCAATAGAGGAAATTCAAATGGCTGAGAAACACCTAAAGAAATATTCAATATCCTTAGTCAACAGGGAAATGCAAATCAAAACTACTGTGAGATTTCAACTTACTCTTGTCATAGCAGCTAAGATCAACAAAATAAATGACAACTCATGCTAGTGAGGATGTGGAAGAGGGGAACACTCACCCATAGCTGGTGGGACTGCAAACTTGTATAGACACTATGAAAATCAGCATGGCAGTTCATCAGGAAGCTGGGAATACATCTACCTCAAGATCCACCTATACCACTCCTAGACATACAGTCAAAGGACTCTGGTGATTTGAAAGAAAATGGCCCCCACACTATTGGGAGATGGGGCCTTGTTGGAGGAAGTGTGTCACTGTGGGGGGGTGGGCTTTGAGGTTTCTTTCATGCAGGCTTCACTCTGTGTGACAGTCAGTCCACTTCCTGTTGCCTTCTGATAAAGTTATAGCCAGCACCATGTCTGCTTGAATGCTGCCATGCTTCCTGCCATTATGATATTGGACTAAACCTCTAAAACTGTAAGCTGCCACCTCAATTAAATGTTTTAAGAGTTGCCATGATCATGGTGTCTCTTCACAGCAATAGAAACCCTAAGACAGATTCCACATCCTACTACAAAGAAACTTGTTCAACCATGATCATGGTTGCACTGTTTATAATAGGCAGAAATTGCAAAGAAACTAGAAGCCTCTAAGGGATGAATGGATAAAGAAAAAAAAATGGAACGTTTATACAATAGAGAATTACTCAGCTGTTAAAAAAAACAATGAAATCAGCCCAGCTCCACCAGAGGATGTGCAGGTAGTCAAAACCCCAGGTAAGGCCCTGCCCCTGGAACTGCCACTACTCCCTCAGTGCCTGGCTAGCCTACTCCCTACCATCACTCCTTTCTTTACCACCATATCACAGCCCACAACCCTGGTGGAAGCCCCTGCCCCACCAGAGGCCATACTGGCCATCAGAACCCCAGGTAGGCTGCTTGCCTGTAGACCACCCCCTTCTCTCAGTCCCCACCCACCCTACCTCCAACTGCCCCTCCCCATCATGGTATTCTGTCCCCCAGCTCCAGCAAACACCCCCTGCTTCACCAGAGGCTATGCTGGCCTTCAGAACATGCATGCCCACAGATAATCCACCTGCACACACTGTCCCTACTCAGTGCCCACCCAGCCTACTACTAATTATTCCACTCCTTCCTATCACCATATCCCCGTGGAGGACTCCCGGCTAGAACAGAGGCCATGCTAGCCACCAGAACTCCAGCCTCTAACACATGAGGAAACCAGAGGCCACCACAGCCATCAGAAGTCTGGTTCCCAATTCGGATGGAGAACTTCTACTCAACCATAGGACACTCTGGCTAGAAGACCAGAGAGGAAACAGAAACCAAGAAACAAGACACCCGTCAAACAGAGGCAAACTCAGGAATCAGCACCTAGATTTATAATCACCCAGATGCCTAGACACCAGCATAAGAACACAATCAACAACAGCCAGGGCAATATGGCACCACCAAAGCCCAGCTGTCTTACTACAGTAAGACCTGAATCAACACAGCTGAAGCACAAGAAAATGACCTTAAAATCAATTTTATGAAGATTAAAAAAAAATCCCTTAAAGAAATAGAGGAAAAGATAAAAATTGGAGGAAATAAATAAATTCCTTAGAGAAAGTCAAGGAAGCCACAAAAATACAAACAGTTGAAGGAAACAAAACTGTTCAAGTCTTGAACATAGAAATAGAACCAATAAAGAAAACACAAACTGAGGGAATTCTGAGAATGGAAAATCTAGGTGAGTGAACAGCAACTATAGATGCAAGCATCACCAACAGAATACAAGAAATAGAACAGAGAATCTCAGGCATTGAAGATATGATAGAAGAGTCTCACTGGAGACTCTAAAAGTCAGGTGGACAGGTGTCCTGCAGACTCTAAGAGACCACAGAGGCCAGCCCAGACTATTATACCCAGCAAAACTTTGAATCATCATAGATAAAAAAACAAGATATTCTATGATAAACTCAAATTTAAATAATGTCTATCTACAAATCCTGCCCTACAGAAAATACTAGAAAGAAAGCTCCAACCCAAGGAGGTTAACCACCCATGAAAACACAGAAAATACATAACTTCACACACCAGCAAAACCAAAAGAAGGGAAACAAACACACACAACCAGTACCACTACTACCAACAAAATAACAGGAATTAACATTCAATGGTCACTGATATCTCTTAATATCAATGGGCTCAATTCCCTAACATAAAGACACAGACTAACAGAATATATGCGAAAACAGGATACATTCTTCTGGTGCACACAAGAAACATAACTCAACTTCAAAGGTACACAATACCTCAGAGTAAAGTGTTGGGAAAAGATTTTCCAAGCAAATGGACCTAAGAACCAAGCTGGTAGCCATTCTAATATCTAACAAAATAGACTTCTAACCAAAATTAATCAAAAGAGATGGGGAAGGCTACTTCATACTCATCAAAGGAAAAATCCACCAAGATGATTTTTTTAAAAAATTTTTAACATCTATGCCCCAAACACATGGGCACCCACCTTTGTAAAGGAAAGACTACTATAGCCTAAATCACACATCAACCCTCACACATTGATAGTGGGAGACTTCAATACCCCATTATCATTAATAGACAGGTCATCCAGACAAAAACTAAACAGAAAAATACTGGTGCTAACAGATGTTATGAACCAAATGGACCTAAAAGGTATCTACAGAACATTTCTCACAAACACAAAAGAATATACCTTCTTCTCAGCACCTCCCAGAACATTCTCCAAATTTGACTACATACTTGGTCACAAAAAAGTCTCAACAGATATAAGAAAATTGAAATAACCCCCTGCATCCTATATAGTAATTGAGTTCTAGCTGGAGAAATAAGACAATTGAAAGAGATCATAGGGATACAAATTGGAAAGGAAGAAGTCATAGTATCATTATTTGCAGATGATATCATAGTTTACATAAGTGACCCCAAAAATTCTACCAGGGAATGCCTACAGCTGATAAACACCTTCAGTGAAGTGGTTGGATACAAGATTAACTCAAAACATCAGTAGCCCTCCTATTTACAAATGATGAATGGACTGAGAAAGAAATCAAGGAAGGAATGTCCTTCACAATAGCCATAAATAATATAAAATATCTTGGGGTAATTCTAACCAAGCAAGTGAAAGACTTGTATGACAAAAACTTCAAGTGTTTGAAGAAAGAAGCTGAAGACATAGGAAGATCTCCAAGGCTCATAGACAGGTAAGGTTAACACAATAAAAATGTCTATCTTACCAAAAGCAATCTATAGATTCAGCAATCCCCACCAAAATTCCAACACAATTCTTTACAGACTCAAATTCATATGGAAAAACAAGAAATCCACGATAGCTAAAACAATCCTGTACAATAAAATAACTTTCAAATGTATCACCATCCCTGATTTCAAGCTGTACTACAGAGCTAAAATAATAAAAACTGCATGGTATTGGCATAAAATACAGACAGGTTCATCAATGGAATAGAACAGAAGACCCAGACATAAATAGAAGACCCACACACCCATGGACACCTGAGTTTTGATAAGCTAGAAATAAACAATGGAAAAAAGAAAGCATCTTCAACTAATGGTGCTGGTCTAACTGGATGTCTGTATGTAGAAGAATGCAAATAGATCCATATCTATCACTGTGCACAAAACTCAAGTCTAAATGGATCAAAAGCCTCAATATAAAATAAAATACACTAAATCTAATAGAAGAGAAAGTGGTGAATATCCTTGAATGCACTGACACAGAAGACAACTTCCTGAACAGGGAACCGAGAGCACAAGCACTCAGAACAACAATCAATAAATGAGACCTCACAAAACTGAAAAGCGTCTGTAAGCAAAGAACACTATCAATAGGACAAAATGGCAGCCCACAGAATGGGAAAAGATCTTCAACAACCCCACCACACATCTGACAGAGGACTGATATCTATATCTATATATCTATATCTATATCTATATCTATATATATGATATCCATATCCATATATATATATATATATATATATATATATATATATATATATATATAAAGAAACTAGACATCAACAAACCAAATAATCCAATTAAAAAATGGGGTACAGATCAAAACAGAGAATTCTCAACAGAGGAATCTCAAATGGCCAAGAAACACTTAAAGGAATGTTCAACATCCTTAGACATCAGGGAAATACAAATCAAAACAACTCTGAGATTCCATCTTACACCTGTCAGAGTGGCAAAGATAAAAAACATAAGTGACAGCTCATGCTGGAGGGGATGTGGAGCAAGGGGAACACTCCTCCATTGCTGGTAGGAGTGCAAACTTGTACAGCCCCTTTGGCAATCAGTGTGATGATTTCTAAGAAAATTGGAAATCAATCTACTACAAGACCTGGGAATATCACTCTTGTGTGTATACTCACAGGATGTTCCATCCTACCACAAGGACACTTGCACAACTATGTTCATAGCAGCTTTAGTTATAATAGCCAGAAACTGGAAACATCCTAGATGTCTCTCAACAGAAAAATGGATAAAGAAAATATGGTACATTTACACAAAGGAGTATTACTGAGCTGTTAAAAAAAATAACATCATGAAATTTGTGGGAACTAGAAAAAAAAATCATCCTGAGTGAGATAGCCCAGACCCAGAAAGACAAACATGGTATGTACTCACTTATAAGTGGAAACTAGTGGTTAAGTAAAGGATAATCATGCTTCAAGTCACAGACCCAGAAATGCTAAGTAACAAGGAGGGCTCAAAGAGTGACACATGAATCTCCCAGGGAAGGGGAAGCAGAATAGATTTAGAAGGTGAACTGGGGGAAAGTGGGTGGGGATGGGAACAGGACGGTTCAGATGGTGGTGGGGGTTGAAGGGGAGAGTACTGGGAGAAACTTCTGGAATTGGGGGACATTTTGAGGAACAATGTAGAAACCCAGTGCAGTGGAAACTCCCTAGATTCTTTGTGACCCTAGTTAAGTCTCCTAGTAATGGGGGATATGGACCTGAACTGGCTGTCTTCTACAACCATGCAAGGCTCCCAGAAGTGGGACTGGGACATCAATTCAGCCAGAAAACTTTGACCTACAATCTGTTATGCCTGCAAGATGTGCTGGAGTGATGGTCGCACAGAGCTTGTGGGAGTGGCCAACCTATGATTGGTCCAATTTGAGGCCCACATCTCACACTGCCTGGATGGCCAGCAACTGGCCTCCCAAACCTCAATCAATGCCAGCACCATGCTCTTGAACCTCCAAAAACTATGAACCTCCCTCAGATATTTTGTAGCATAGCATGACTTAATACAAGAGCAATGGCCTGCAAAGTATAATAAAAACTTACTGACTTAAGATGTAGGCTAACTTAGACTAATCTTCCTGGGATCTTCAGTGCCAGCCCATGACACAAGAATAAACTTACATCTCTTATCAGAGCCTCGTTTTCCCACTAGCAATTTCCAATGATTACACACACACCCCACACCTCCTTGTCTACAGAGCAAATGTATTATATTGTGTTAGTTAAGATTTTGTCAACTTAACACAAGCTACAGTTATTTGGGAAGGGGAAACCTCAGTTGGGAAAATACATCCATCAGACTGATCTGTAGGCAAGTCTATCTTGGAACTCACTATATAGATCAGGCTGTCCTCAAACTCACAGAGATCTACCTGCCTCTGCCTCCCAAGTGCTGGGATTAAAAGTGCATGCCACCACACCTGGCAAAGAAATCTGTAATTGGTTGTGATCAGCTCATGTGAACTCCACTACTCTAGGACTAATTGCATTTTCTTGATTAATGATTGATCTGGGAAGGCTAGAGCATTGTAGATGGTGCCATCTCTGGACAGTTAGGCCTGAGATGTATAAAAAAGCAGGCTAAGCAAGCCAGGGGAGCAAGCAAGCTGTGTTCCTCCATGGCTTCTTCTTTAGTTCCTGCCTCTTGATTCCTGTCTTGGCTTCTCTCAATGGACTGTGACCTGGGATATATAAGATAAATAAACCCTTTCCTCCCCAAGTTGCTTCTGGTCAGTGTTTTATCACAGTAATGGAAACTTACGACACACATCTCCCTCACATCTTATTTTTTAGTTGATTTCATGATCTTTTTTTGTTGTTGTTTGTTTTGCTTTTTGAGACAGGGTTTCTCTGCATAGCCCTGGCTGTCCTGGAATGCTCTATGTAGACCAGGCTGGCCTCAAACTCAGAGATCAATCTACCTGCTTCTGTCTCCCAATTGTTGGGATTAAAGGTGTACACCACCACAAGGCTCAAGATCCTTTTCTTTGATCACTAGAGAAATTCAGACTCATAGAATTCCACAAATTCCCTGATGTCTATAAGTCAGCCCACAAGCAGACACAAATCCAGGTATTTCAGCTTCAAGTTTGGAAGCACATCACCATCTCACAGAACTATCCTGGTCTTACCACAGGTATACATACACTGGCCACAGTTAGACAGATTTGGGTTACTTTTGGATGGTTGTCAGTGAGTGGCCATGGAGTCCTTTCCTCGGCAGATATGCCCTTGATTAGAATTGGAGAATGGAAACCCCATGTTACCTTACCCCTCCACAGCCTGATTGTTCCCAAGACATTCTCTGTGGGCTGAGGTGATGGAATGTTCTGATTTAATGTCCCTAGGGAGTACATGAAATAGTCTTTGTTCCCTGACACTTTCATTTTCTATACATTGTATTAAATATGCACTGAAGTTTAGTGCTCTACACCCTAGATATAAAATGTAAAATAGGCTGAGTAAAGATGGAAAATGGAAAAGGTTTCAAAGAATTGAAATGCTAGTGGTTATTCATTTTGGACTCCCCTTTTTAAGAGGATTACATCAATTTAGAACTTGTGTACCTGTGTGTGTGTGTGTGTGTGTGTGAGAGAGAGAGAGAGAGAGAGAGAGAGAGAGAGAGAGAGAGGTGGGGGGAGAACACAAGGTACTTATACAGACATGAGATTCAGGAAAAAAATCCTGTCTCACCGCTTTTGCATTGTTGTAGTGAAATATTTGAGAAGCAGCTTAAAGAGAATTGTTTATTTTAGCCCATGGTTCTAGTTGCTGGTCTTTGTGCCCATGATGAAGAAGATCATGGTGGCTAAAGTATGTGGCACTCACCTCCTGGCAGACAGTAAGTCAACTGAGACTGAGAGGATCCTCTGGAAGATACATGCCCTGGAGACCCACACCCAGGAGCCTAATTCCTGTAGGTAAGTTCCACTTAGCATTTCAATCATCTTCCACAATAGAACCACCAGCTGGGCCCCAAGAGTTGAACACAAGAGCCATACCAAAGGATAAGTAAAAAGACTCATGGCCAGTTCAATAAAAAGCTAAATAAAACTGTAATCCAAATTTAATCTCCTTTCCTGTTGTGGTGGTGTGGTTCTAAGAGGGAAGACTAAGGACTGCCTCTGTGTGATTAGGTGATTAGCATCAGGATAAGAAAAAGTAGATTCTATTTCAAAGACAGAAAGAGAGAAAGCGTTTTGGAATTATGCGGGAGTGATCCCACAGCTGAGGCAAGAGGGTTTTGAAAGTACAAAGACAGGCCTACCCATACATACCTCAGGGAAGCTATGGTGCTTTCCCCAATCACGGTGCACTTGGGAGACACTCTGTTAGCAACGTGGGACACAAAAACTGGGGAGAGTGGGAGACGGAAGAACCTGCCCAGCCCATGCACTGAAAGTGGAGTGTGGCCAGCAATGGTCCCTTGAGTGAAAACAAAACCTGTAGACACTGAACACTTGTTCAATACAAGCTCAGCCAGCACCAGCAAAAAACACAGCAGAGAGTCCATAGTTCAGCAGCTCCCTCCTGCCATATGTCTGTCAGTCTCCAATTTTCCAGGACCTAGAAAAGAAGGTGTTGCAACACTTCACATTTTTTTTGCATTTTCCTTTTATTCTTTCTTTTTGCACCTTGTGTTTATTCTTGTTTTTACTACACTGTCGATAGCATTTTACTTAATCATATTTAAAATTTTTTTTGTTTTATTATCTCTTATTCTCCTTCATACATTTATTTAAATGTTTCTATCCTTTTTTTCATTACTGGGTGATATTTTCTCTTTTTGATTCAGTTTTCCCCCCTTTTTCTTTCAATGGAATTTTAAGATTTATTTTATTTTATGTGTATGGGTGTGGTGGTTTGAATGAGAGTGGCTGTGTGTTAGTTAGAGTTTCTATTGCTGTGAAAAGACATCATGATCACGGCAACTCTTACAAATAAAACATTTAATTGTTGTGGCTTGCTGACAGTTCAGATGTTCAGTCCATTAACATCATGGTTTGATATGACAGCATGCAGGCAGACATGGTGCTGGAGAAGTAGTTGCTACATGTTGACATGCAGACAACAGGAAGTAGACTGTTTCACTGGGAATGGCTTGAGCATATATGAGACCTCAAAGCCTGTTTCCACAGTGACATACTTCCTTCAATGAGAAAACATCTACTCTGAAAGGCCACATCTCCAATAATGCCACTCCCTTTGGGGGCCATTTTCTTTCAAACCACTACAGGCCCCCATAGGCTCAAATATTTGCATGCTTAGTTCTCAGTTGAACTGTTTGGAAAGATTAGGAAGTGTGTCCTTGTTGGAGGAGGTATGTCACTGTGAGGTTTCAAAAGCCCACACCAGATCCAATCTCTCTTGCTCTTCCTGTTGCCTGTGGATCAGGATGTGAAGCTCTCAGCTACTTTTCCAGTATTATGCCTATCTGAATTCCTCCATGCTTTCCATCATGATGATAATGGACTAAAACTCTGAAACTGTAAGTAAACCCCAATTAAATGTTTTCTTTTCTAAAAGTTGCCATGGTCATGGTGTCTCTTCATAGCAATAGAACAGTGACTAAGACAATGAGTGTTTTGCCTGTATGTATGTATGTGCAACACATATGTGCTTCATGCCCAGGGAGGTCAGAAAAGAGCATTTGATTCCCTGAACTGGAGTTATAGATGCTTCAAACCACAATGGGAACCCACTCCAAGTCTTACAAGAGCAACAAATACTCTTACCCATATGCATGAAAAATGTTACATGAAACACATTTCTTGGTATAGTAACAAAAATTCATTTAAAATGTAATATTTTGATTCTTGGGCACAGATTTCATATAAATTAAACAAATATATTCTCTAAACTGATATTTATAGTTTTCAGTATTCATAACTTTGAAAACAGATACTAGAAAATCAGGAAAAGAAATAAAGTCTTTTACTTCATTTATGACATTTACTCAACAAATCCAGATTGAATTTTCATTTCTTTTGATTTTGTACGATTTTACCTCTTTCACACTTCTTTTTTACTTTTTATGCCAAATTTATTTGTAGGGTTGAGTTATGATGCCATGTTTTTTTTTTTTTTTTAATGTCACTTTCCCAGAAGAATAGCATAGCCTCACAATTTATTCAAAAGACCAGAAGTGAATTATTTGTAAAACTTAGCCCTAGTGAGAATCTGGTAAATTCCAGACTGATGCATAACAGGGCCCCTCGGCATCTGTTCATAGTTGTATGACATTCAGACCTCCCTGAATGTGCCAGAGGCATGAAGCCAGTACTCAGGCTACAGAAATGAAGAGGGCAATGTGCCTAGGCCTCAGGGACACAGAAGAGAAGCCACTGTCCTTGCTTCAGATGGGACAGCCCTGCCTGCTGTCTGCCTCCAGGATTACTGTTTTCCCCTCAGATTCAAAGTAGAACCTAGACCCACACACATGCACACATATCACCACAGTATGTTTAAAAAAGAAGTGAATGATACAGAAAAAAACACTCTGGTAACAGGAAATTGAATGTACAATTAATTATATTTAAATCATTAGTAGAGATAATGTTTAAATAACTTACAGTCCCTACAGATGCATCATTGCAAAGGACAAAGAAATGTTCTTTAAAGAAAATACAGTCAGTATTTTTCTTAATGTTTCTTAATACTATTTTCTTACAAAAACAGGCTATAACATGAAGCAATAGTAAAAGACGGCTTTGCTGATGTTCTGTAACAGTCTCCTCTGAGTTTGAAACATTCCATACTTCAGGGAAGCTCCTTAAGCAGGAAAGTAAACAACTCAAAAGAGCTTCAGAAAGTCCCTGAAACTGACCAGATTCACTGAGCTGTCACCATGCTGGCGGGGGCTTTGGTGATGCAGCTGTCTTAGGAGGTAATTTCTGCTCCTGTGAGTAACTCCCATCCATATTCCTGTCAGTAATCTCATTAAAACTCATGGTTCATTGAACTTTGGTGGTATCCATACTTTGATCTGTCAAAGGCTTCCTGTCTTGGGTGAGTAGACATGTATGTTACATCTCTCCAAGAAAATTTTTGTCATACAACAATACAGAATGACTATTATCAATGTAATTACCCACAACTAAATTTTATCTGAATTCTTCAGATTCAGGTAGTTTTAAAAATTTATGAATGACCAATTATTTGGCAAAACGTAAATTCGTGAATTTATTCAGAAACATTTACCTAGGTATCAAGTCATGGGTACAGACTTTTATATTTAAAACCTTTTTCTCAGAACCATGTTTAAATGGTACGACATTTAAAATTTTCATCAAACAGAATTATGTCAAAGCACAAATGTTTAAAGTCATGCATAGTCTGATGCCAAAACAGTGATGGATACATGCTGGAGGACTGAGTCTTTAAAAGCTTTCATGAACCATGGTCTGTATGCTTACTAAATGTTATGAGCATTATATGTACTCAGACTCAGAGGTTTACAACATAATAGGTAGAACCAAATTTGAAATCCAATTTTCTTTCATCTAATCCTCATCGTTTTAATCACAGAGATACAATATGAAGCCTGAGACCTGTCAGGATTACATGTTTCTCCAACATTTAAAATCACAGATATATTTATATCTTGTACACAGTTGTAAATATGTAACATGTACATTTTCTGAGTTCCACAGAAAACAAGTGACATAATAGAAAGATAAAAATGTAATGCAGCTGAGTAGTGGTGGCACATGACTTTAATCCCAACACTCAGGAGGCAGAGGCAGGTGGATCTCTGTGAGGTCGAGGCCAGCCTAGTCTACAAAGCGAGTTCCAGGAATACACACAGAGAAATCCTTTCTCAAAAATCCAAATAAACAAAGAAACAAATAAATAAAATAACCCCAAGGCAGAGAAAAAAGAAACTTAACTAAAAAGCATCAGTAGGTCAAAGATGATTGCTGTTACACAACAACCTGAAAAACCAAGGGAACAGCTAACATTCCATTTCTGGGGAAGCTGAGTGTTCTACAGGAGCAAGGATAATTAAAGGAAGTAAACTTTCTGAGAGTGAGGACTCTCCCAAGAAGAGTAGTGTATCTTCTTCCCTCTTTAAACAACTTCTAGTCTCATGTGGAAGAAGAAGTACCCTTCAACAGCAAACCTTCCTCAGACACTGCTGAGCACTCAGACATGTGCCACATGGGAGGGAGAGGGAAAGAGTGAAGCTGGAAACCTTGGAGGTGAGACCAAGTTTCTTATAGGCTCTTGATACAAAGCGCAAGAGAAAGAGACTGGAATGAACAGGGGTAAGACACAGTTTATTAAAACTGAAATCAGACTCAGCCCACTAAAGTCTTTTAGGCCTGAAATTATCAGTTCCTAATTCCTATAGTAGAGATTCCTCTGGGAAAAAGACACTAGGGACAAAAGAACACAACTAATAAGTTTTTAAAACAATAGATATAGATGCATAGGTAATTTTAATATTAAATCTAGCAGACAAGAATTAAATTGATAGAACTGTTGAAAAGATTGATTTCGCCAAGGAATTTTTATTTGCATAAAAGTATCAAATGGATACACTACATTTAATGTAGAACAAAATGAATTCTGAAATTAACAAGTTGCTATTTGGTTTTGCAGAAGATTAAGAATAACAGAAGATAGCCCAAATAACAGAAGATAAATTAAATCACAGCTGAACAGAAAATATTCAAATTGAAGCAAGCACACACATGCACATACAAACAGGACCAAGGAAAGCAAGAGGCATGGTGGGAGAAGAGAAAAACATCTTAAATATGTATAGTTTGCATCACAGAAACAGGAAAGAAAAGAAAAAGTAGTACAAATGGAAAATTTGAAGAGATATTGAAAGAAAGTAAAAAAGGGGGGGCACCATGAGATAGTGAGTGAAAAACTTCCAAGGCTGATGAGAAACATCAACCCACAGATACAAGGAGTACAGTGACTCCAAAACAGAGGTGCCAGGAAAGGGCATCTGTACATAGTAATGTCACCATAACAAGCTAAAAACAAAGAGGGAACCTTCATTTATTTATTGTTTATTTATTTTCATGTAGTTCATGCTGGCACTGAACTTGCTATAAGTTGAGGTGACCTTGAATTTCTAATCACCTTGCACCCACCTCTCAGTTGCTGGGATAACAGGCATTTGCCACTCCATCTGGCTTCTGTGGTGCTGGGATGAGATCCAAGGTTTCCTGCATGCTTGGGCAAGCACCCTACCAGCTGAACTACTGTGGTGCTTCGAATGAGGATGTCAGGAATTAGAACACTTGTTTCCAGATGATGGACTTGTGGAAAGTTTGGGGGAGGGGTGCAGCCTTGCTGGAGAAAGTATGTCACTGAGGACAGGCCTTGGGAGCATATAGCCTTGCCCGCTCTCCTTGCTGTCTGATTTTGTGCTTGCATTGGAAGATGTGATTTTCCTGCTCATGCCACCGTGACTGCCGCTTGCTGCTGTGCCTCCCTGCCATAATAGGTTTTTATAACTCTGAAACCATAATCCAAAATAAGCTCTCTCTTCCATAAGTTGCTTTTGGTCATTGTGTTTTATCACAGCAACAGAAAAGCAACTAATA